GGTAAAAAAAAAAAAAAAAAAAAAAAAAAAAAAGACAAAATGCTGGCCAGATGTGGTGGTTCAAGATCAAGCCCACCTGCTACTATAGCTGTGCTTTATCTTGTTTCACTTCTAATTCTTTAGGAAGGAGATGAGGATGCAGAAAAGGAATTCCGATAATACTGAAGAAGGAAGTGGTGGGGCATGGTGGCTCACGCCTGTAATCCCACCATTTTGGGAGGCTGAGGTGGGCGGATCACTTGAGGTCAGAAGTTTGAGACCAGCCTGGCCAACATGACAAAACCCTGTCTCTATTAAAAATACAAATATTAGCCGGGTGTGGTGGCAGGTGCCTGTAATCCCAACTACTCAGGAGGCTGAGGCAGGAGAATCGCTTGTGAGAGGAGGTTGCAGTGAGCCAAGATCATGCCACTGCACTCCAGCCTGGGCAACAGAGTGAGACTCCGTCTAAAAAAAAGAAAAAAATCCCAGCACTTTGCGAGGCCAAGGCAGGAGAATCACCTGAGGTTGGGAGTTTGAGACCAGCCTGACCAACATGGAGAAACTAAAAATACAAAATTAGCTGGACATTGTGGCGCATGCCTGTAATCCCAGTTACTCGGGAGGCTGAGGTGAGCTGAGATCATGCCATTGCACTCCAGCCTGGGCAACAAAAGCAAAACTCTGTCTCAAAAAAAAAAAAAATAGAGTGGAGCAGAAGGTGATTGATGCCCAGACAACTTGCTGTGCTGGTGGTTTGTGCCACAGACAGAATGGGAAAGTATTCTTGGTCCCATTTGTGCAAAGGATTGGCTCTGAGGGCAGCACTATGGGCAGTGCTCCTCGAGGCATGACCTGCCTCCCCACTTCTCTCCTCCTCTCCCCTCACTCCTCCTGCTCACAACTCTTTTAGGTGCTCAGCACAGTGGTTGGAGGCTGGGCTCTCCCAGCATCTGCTTGGGACTTGACAGAGGAGGAGATTCATGAAGGGTCGTGGCTGAATTACATGCCTGCCCTGCTGAGCAGATGAGCAGACACCAGGCAGAGAGACGGGCAAGTCAAGGTCAGCAGAAAAGCATGGCCCTGGCATGGAGACCTAGGTTCTCATATTCACTGTCCTGGAAGTGCACTGTGGACTTGACCGAGCCTCTCCTGCTCTCTGACTCAGTGTTCCCTCTGAAGAACAAGGGCTTGGGCCAGGCGCCCACCAGATTATGTGCCTCAGAGAATTTCATATTTCCTTCTGCCGACAATGAAGGTAACGTGCTATAGGCAAGGAGCTGGACTTTCGCCCAAGGTAGAGGACCTGGCTTGTTCACAGACCCCTTCATCTTCTCTTCCTCTGTGTGAGCCCTCCGTGGGGCCCTGTGGGGTTTTCCCACCCCAAGCTAGAGTGCTCCATGCCCCTTCAGCAGGGACTATCTCAGCCTTGCCTACGAGGTTGTTTTGAAGTCCTCCCACCCCTCATTCCCTCCATGTTTCCTCTTGGCTGGTTGCTGAGGCTGTCTTGCTTTGTATGGAAATATTCACCTTGAATCTCCCAAATTACCCAGAGGGTGGAGACCTCATGGTCTTGGGAAAATATTAGCAAAAGCAATAGCAATCCACTTGGAGCCATGTTAGGATGTGCTGGGAGTGACACTCAGATTCTGGCAATCTCAGTCTCCTGAGGGAGGGAAGTGGGGATGGTTCCATCATGCAGAATCCAGGCTGGAGGCTATACTTCCCCTTTCTTTCATGGCAAACCAGCAGGCTCGGAGCCCAAGGGTTATGCTTCTCTTGGGGAGGTACTGGGTTTGGAGGACTGAGATACTCTTTCCCTCTTAGACATGACACTTGGGCCTTTTTCTCTCGAATGTAAAATTTAGGGTAGTGATACTGACTTCACAGGCTTGTTGGAAGGGCCAAATGGAGTAAGATGTCCAGCTTTGTACAGAGCCTAATACAAGCCAGCAATCAATAAATGCCATAAAAATAGTTTATTTCTACCTTTGCAAAAAAAGGTCTCTTCCTTTCCCTCTTCCCCTCCATCCTGCCTTCCCTCTATTAATTCCTTCCTTCATCTCTGTCCATCTTTCCATTCATCCATTCTTCTACTTATCCATCCACCCATGCATCCATTCATCCTTCCATTCATCCATCCATATACCCATCTATCCATTCATCCATCCATCCATCCTTTCTTCTACTTATCCATCCAACCATGAATCCATCCTTTCATTCATTCTTCCACCCACCCACCCA